CACGCAGGGCAGCAGGGGAGACACTGTTTTCTCTGGGTTTCCAGTACGAAAGGCAAGGGGCAAGCCACCATGGGCGGTGCCCACCTGGAGAGGAATTAGCGAGGGAGGGCGAACGGGGGACAGGGATGCGGAGGCGGGCCTAGTACTCCCACAGAGTGGCAGGGTCGATGGTCTCCGCACAGGCCTTCAGGACCCCTGCCTGGTCCCCCTTCAGGTAGCGCCCACCCACCTCGATGGCCACCTTGTTGTAGTCGCAGAACTCAAAGATGTCGACAGGGGTGTCGCTGCTGCTGGTGACCAAGGAGTCGCTGCCCAGCGTCCAATACTTGCCTGTGGAGTCTTCGATGTTGTAGGCGCCGTCGTTGAACTCGAGCTGGAAGACGTCATAGTTGGAGCGGTTGGCGTCCAGGGTGCCCGTGACCTTGCGGCAGCCGATGAAGCCGTGCTCCCCGCGGAACACGACGATGGGGCAGTTGGTCAGCTTCATGAGGAAGAGCTCTGCGTCCCCTGCTGTCTCCACCGAGGCGGCCAGCGGCCCGTTCTTCTTGGCTTTCACGAACCTGCCGTTGGACGCACGTAGTGAGATCCGCCGGTCGCGCCACTCGATGTCAAAGTAGCAGCTGGCACTCTCAGCAGAGGCCCCGGTGGCCGTCAGCGTCCAGTACTTGCTGTGTGGGTTCGGAAGGCGCACTTTTTGGTGTCGCGGTCGATCTCCAGTTGGAAAGTCTCCCGGTGGGTCTCTTCGTCCTGATTGGCCGACAGGTCCATACCCTGACGCGTGGATATGTTCCTTCCTCTCGGCGTCCTGCAGCACGGCCTGGGCGCAGCTCTTGGCTGGTGGCCTTGCCCGCGTTGGGCGTGCCTCTGGGTCCCGACGGCGCCAGGTAGCGGCCCTCGCAGTGGCGGAAGGCCACCTCCCGGAGCGTGTAGCCCGTGGCGAGCTCCGGGCGCCCGCTGTGGCGCAGGAAGCGCGGTCAGCGGTCGGCACGCAGTAGCGCTGGTCCCGGAAGGCCAGCGTGATGAGCGAGTCGGCCGGCCGCGCTCAGTGCGCGTAGCCCTGGCGGGTGAGGCTGTAGATGTTGACCTGCGGGTGCATGGCGATGTGCACGCTCCGCTTCTTGGCTGGCGACACCTGGCGACACGGTCTGCGCGAAGCATGACAGGCGGTCCCCGGTGCCACCGAAGCAGCGCCAGAGCGCCTCGGACTGCAGCGACTAACGATCAGGAAGCGGCAGTTGGCGCAGGGCGCCTCGCGCTCGCAGGTCACATTGCCGCTCGCAGGTCAGGTTGCCGCTCGCAGGTCAGGTTGCCGTCCTTGTCCGTCGCCAGGTAGCGGCCCAGGTGGCTGCGCAGGCACACGGCCACGCTGCCCGCCTAGTCGAGCCGCTGCTCCAGCGTCCAAATCTGCTGCTGCTTCTTCAGACTGCGGCCGACGCGTTCACCTTGAACCGGAATGCCTGGGCCGTCAGGTACTTGTTGCCGCAGTTGATGAGGCCGAACTGGATCTGCACCGCCTCGGCGTGGGCGTGCCGTTGTCAGGGCAGTTATGGTGGCGGCCGGCGGCAGGCCCCCACGGCCCAGGAGGTGGTGGCGGGTCCCCGCAACAGCGCCTGGCTCCTCTGTTTCCCGACCGCAGTCCCCTGCCGGCCGCAGCGCTCCACTAAGCGAGGACTTTAGCAGTGGCAACTTTCTGACTTCATAGGACCTTTATCTCTAGACCAGTGGTCGGCAAACTGTGGCTCTTGAGCCACATGCAATTCTTTGGCCCCTTGAGTGTGGCTCTTCCACAAAATACCACGTGTGGGCAAGCACATACAGTTCGATTAAAACTTCGTGGCCCATGCGCAGAAGTCAGTTTTTGGCTCTCAAAAGAAATTTCAGCCGAAACCGGTTTGGCTCAGTGGTAGAGCGTCGGTCTGCGGACTGAAAGGTCCTGGGTTCGATTCTGGTGAGGGGCATGTACGTTGGTTGCAGGCACATCTCCAGTAAGGGGTGTGCAAGAGGCAGCTGGTCAATGTTTCTCTCTCATTGACGTTTCTAGCTCTCTCTCTCCCTTCTTCTCTGTAAAAATCAATAAAATATATTTTTTTTAAAAATTTCAATTGTTGTACTGTTGATATTTGGCTCTGTTAACTAATGAGTTTGCCGACCACTGCTCTAGACTAACACTTCAATTATGAACCCTTATCCCTTTAGCTCATTACCCTTTGGTACAAATGCCTGTGCCTTCTAGGGCATTAAGCTAGTTTTGGGTTTTTTGTTTTGTCTGAAGACATCATCAAGCCTGCCTGTCAATATCAGACTGCTCCCTGAAGTTCTCCCAATGTAGTCTTACAGTGACCTCAGCACCAGAAGACAGTCCTGCAAATATTATCTGACCACAGATGGCACAAATAGGTGCATACATTCTATGTGCTAGGTACTGTGCTACTGTTTTTTACATGCAATAATTTGTAATATTATCTCATGAAAACAAGACCAAGAACAACTATGCATCTGAAATTTGCTAGAAAGGGAGCTACACTGGGACTGCGTAGAGGCTCCTATTGGAAAGCCTTTCAGTGCCAAAAGCAAATACCTGGGAGTCCTATAAGCCTCAAGCTACAATGCTCCAAGTAGGAGCAACACCAGTTAGACAAATCCTAAGATTAGGAGCGAGAACAAAAGGGAGGGGCACTTCCTATTCCTGTAAGATTTACAATGCATACAGGTTACGATCTTAACCAGAGAATGCTTATTAACATCAACTTGACACTACCCACCCATTTCATGGCATCAGCAACCACATCAACCCTGTCCCACTCCTACCACTGTGGATCCTACACTCATCTCTCAAATCCTTAAACACCTCCTTACCTCCCCCCACCCCCAGCACACACACACACCACCACTGCCCTCTTGTAGGTCAGAGAAAAGCAGAGAAATAAGAAACTAAGATTTTTAAAAACTGGCTCAGAAAACCAAGGAAGAACTCAATTCTAAACTGAGGCAGGGCTGAGGCAAGACTAATAAAAATGTTTGGGGCAATAAACTGAACCAAAAGACAGATATAAAGACAGTAAAGCAATAAGCAGACTGTCAAATTACAGTGGGGAGGGTAGGGAGATCTGGGGGAGATAAGAGATCAATCGAAGGACTTGTACACTGCATATAAGTACAACCAATGGACACAAAACTCTGGGGAGGGAGGGTATATATAAGAGGGGGGGCAATGTTAAAATATGTACACAGGTAATAATTTAATTAAAAAAAAAAAAAAAACAGTTGGGGCATACAGGGTTTTTTTCTCACTTGGTAGCTGGTTTCCAATGGAATGTTTTATCCGTTTCCCAAACAACTGCTAGTTAGATCTTTTCCTGAGATGTTTTCCTGGCTTCATAATGTCCTTCTCCTAGAATATCTCCTCCTTTTCTCTCTTTCCCATAAGCACACTCTCCTAAAATTCCTATTCCTGATTATCCATTCTAAAATATGCTTTCTCCTAATAATTTTGCCCTTTCTCCACTAAGGGGCAATACTTCAGTTATAGCAGGACCACCTCTTCCTGCGAATCATTTGTAAGACCAAAATATCCTAACTCTGAAGAGCCCGGTCTTCCTTCAGCTACTTCATAAAAAATAAAACATTATAAACAAACAAACAAAAAATCAGATACTTTTACTGCTGTACACTACAGAAGAAAGAAAACCTCAGAGACCATCATATCATCCCAAGCCCCCTGGGCTTGACCCTGTTACCATGCCACACCCTACCTCACCTGTCTGCTGCCACCTTGGTGGAACAACTTCTCGACCAACTCAGCAAGACCACAAAGGTAAGCAGGTCCTCCAAACAGATCAACACTGGAAGCCAGGACACTTTCAATGAAGAGTCACACACTTTCACGTTTCTTGAAGATATTTATTACCATCCAAACGTATTTCCAACAGGGAAAGGCATGATCCCTAATTTCCTTGAGATATGTGTTTTCAAAGTCTCCTAGGGAACCTTTCTTACATAACCCTCTGAAGACTCCAGAGTTCTGTTTATCCTTCTCTGACAGAGGTGGGGGAAGTCTTGATCTCTGTACAGATTAGACTAATTCAGATTCTAGTCCCTGTGCCAATTCCTAGGCTGACCTGCAAATTCCTTCTTACTATTTCCCTTAGGTCTCCGGGTCCTGTTAGTCTGAGGTGACATTGATGTTCATGGTCTTCCAATTGGCCTTCCTGTGAGGCCATTGAGGTGTGCTGTGGCTTCCCTGTCAAGGCCTTTTGGAGAGCTACAACTAACCACCAGTCTTTCTTTGCTCTCAAGCTGGTTTCCCAGGAGATTCAGTCTCTCTTTGGTCTCAGGAGTTCAAATACTCCTGCTGAATGTCCAAAGGGAGGAAGCAGTAACAAAAAGTCATATAAATTTCCGAAGTTGCTGGGAAAGACAAGACTAAGTAAGGCATCCAAATTATAACATGGCCAAATGTACCAATGGGGTAGGCACCATGAGACAAGATGGACTTCATAGAGAATTCTGCCTTGATCAGGTGACCTCAAAGACAGCATCCTCACTAGTTCAGACAGAATTCCATTTTAGATTGATGCTAATCCTTTGCTGCCCCTGCTTCTCCCTTGCAATGACCTCCCCCACCTCTCCCACATACACCCATCCTTGTTACTCCTTATAGTAATTACCTCAAAAACATATTTCACCAGTCTGTATGGCTCAATGGTTGAGCACTGTCCTATGAACCAGAGCTTACAATTAGATTCCTGGTCAGTGCACATGCTGAGCTGTAGGCTCCATCCCCAGTGGGTGGGTGAGCGCAGAAGGCAGCCAATCAGTGATTCTTCTCTAATCATTGATGTTTCTATCTCCTCTCCCTTCCTCTCTAAGACAATAACAAAATTTTTTAAATAAAAGAACACAAATGATTTTGGTCAGCAGGGCAAGAAATACCAGCTCTCAACAGCAGAACCCTCTGAATATGCCACCTTTATCTGTGGTGATAAGAAATTCCATTGTTTCTATCTGGTGTGAGTTCTCTGATGACTCATAAGGCGTGAACTTCGAGAAAAGCTTTCTCCACATTCAGAACATTTATAGGGCCTCTCTCCTGTATGGGTCCTCAGATGACGAATCCGATTGGAGCTGTGAGAAAAACTATCTCCACACTCATGACAGGTATAGGGTTTTTCTCCCGTGTGAATTCTCTGGTGCCTGATTAAGTTGGATCTATGAGAAAAGTTTTCCCCACAAAGGGTACATTTATATGGTTTCTCCCCTGTGTGCGTTCTCTGATGTCTGGTGAGGTGCATGCCCTGTCGGAAGCTTTTCCCACAGGTCAAACATTCAAAGAGTTTCTTCTCTGTTTTGTGGGTTCCATGATTTGTAAGAAAGGGGCTGCTGTCACTCATTGCTTCCCCACACTCGGAGAAGGGGTAAAGCTTCTCTTTCTCATGAGTTCTTTCATGTATGACAAGGTGGGAACTTCGAGAGAAACTTTTTCCACACTCAGCACACTTATAGGGTCTCTCTCCTGTGTGAATTCTCTGGTGCCTAAGGAGATTGGAACTGTGAGCAAAAATCTCACCACACTCAGGGCACTTGTAGGGCTTTTCACCGGTGTGTGTTCTCTGGTGTCTGTGGAGATTGGAGTTGCAAGAGAAGCTTTTCCCACATACATTACATTGATAGGGCTTCTCGCCTGTATGGGTGCGTTGATGGCGAGTCAGGTGGGTATTCTGACTGAAGCTTTTTCCACATTCAAGGCACTTATGGGCCTCCTCTCCAAAGTGTGCTCTGGGTAGTGATAAAAAGTGTGGGCTCCCACCAAAGATTTCAGCACACTCTACTCCCATACACAGTCTTTCTGCTGCATGTATTCTCTGGTGCCTAATTAGATTTGAGTTATTAGAGAAATTTTTGCCACACAAGGGACAAATATGGAGCTTCTTTGGCTGCAGTTCCTTTGGCTGGCCTGCTTCTCTGCAACTTGTGGCCCCCACTCTGGACTGCTCCATCCGATCCTCTGGGAGAGGCTCCCAATGCCCTTCTGCCCTGTCCCCAGCTGGTGCCTGCTCAGGACTCCAGGGCACCTCCCCTCTGGTCTGGCCAGTCAGAAGCACCTGCAGATGGATGTTCTCAGGAGAAATAGACTGAGTACTTTCTTCCCGACTCTCAAATTTCTCTTCTCCTGGTAGTGAGAGAAACCAAACCCTACATTATTTTTACCCTAAAGAAAATCCCATATGCCCACTACTGCCTGTATGTCAGAAGTCCAGAAAGGCTGGCTATATCTGTTTTCTATCTTCCCCATACAGGGAAAGCACTATAGAGAGGTATCTGGATAAAAGGTGGGGCCATTGGTCAAGAACCAGAGCTCAGACCAGTCTTATTCCCTTGTAGGGGCCCCCATATTCCTCTTCAACTGAGCCTCTGGCTCTTCCCTTCAGAAATGGGTGGGATGCAGCAGGGCTGAGACTAGGATGGGCAAATGAGCCCAGGAGTGAATGCTTCCTTATGTTTTGAACTCTGGGTGCCTTGCCTGCCTCACTGGGATGGAAGCGGGCAGTGGGGACACAGGACCTTCCTGGCAGCAGTGATGGGCTAGCCCCACACCCAAACCCTCAAATGCCTCACTCCCAATGGGAAAACTAGATGGGCAGGCTCCTCAAATTCCTTACCTGGAGCTGGGTTTCTGGGGCTCAGTCCCTCCTTGCAAATCTGGACACTGGGATCCCATAGTTTTCTTCCTTGTTCCACCTGGATGCTCAGGGCTTCCTGATTGGGAACCTGAGACTCTGTTCACAATGAAAGATACAGATTTTGTGTCACCACATTCCTCCACCAAGCAGGGGAAGTACAGACAGTCATGTTCCCTGTCCTCTGTGAGTAGATACAGAGAACAATAAGTCTGAAATATACATTCAAGCTAACTGTTCCCAATGGTTACCTCTAAAGAAAGATATTTGGGGAGACTATAGCTTTTTTCTTTTTACACTTTTGTAGTTCTTGGGATTTTTCTGCAATGAGAACATACCACTTTTGTAATTAAATCTACCAAACCAAAATAGTCAGAGTGGTCAGTTCCTTAAGTTATCAGTTTGTAAAGGAGCCTTAACTCTATGTATAGTGAATAGAACTTTATCTGACTGGGCAACTCAGAAGAAGAAACTATAATGTGGTGGACAATCAGAAAAGGATCTGGGGCTCTAAAACAACCTGAGGTCGAAATCAAAACGTGCCATTCCTATGCTGTGCTGAAAACAAAAACCTCACTCTAACTCTAGCAAACGTGGACTTTAGTTTAGTTCTAAGAACATGTGATCTGAACATCTCTTCCTATTTAGCGCTCACTGAAGAGCTGTGCTCAACTTAGGCACCAAACCCCAGCAGAGTAATAGGGAACTGGAGAAGGTCCGAATGAAGGGAACCAAACCCAGCAGTGACCCCTCTGTAGTATTAGTGCAAGTGAACTGATAGCTGTGCTTCTCTTTACAAAAACCTAATTTATGAAAACAAAGTGGTGTGACTCTTCTATGGTGTGAGTCAATGTAGCCATAATTGTAATGGACACATTACTGTCTTAGGTTGTTTTTAAAGACTTACCTCAACTTTTATTATGAGAATTTTCATACATACATAAAAGTTGAAGGAATTAAACAATACCTGTACACTCTTCACCTAAATCCTAGTTTTTGTGCAGTCTCCATCTAAACACTCTGTTGTTTTTTCTTTTTTGGTCATATTTCATAGGCCTCATTTAAAATCTCTGCATAATAGGTCAACACACATATGCACCTTAATTTATGCTTGATTTATTTAGCTCCAGTTTTGAATACAGAGAGTCCTTGGGTTACCTCGGACTCAATGTATGTTGTTTCGTGGTTACATCACCATCTCCCATTTATAAAAAATAAAAAATTAAAAAAAAAGTCCGTCAGTTCGACGTATATACATAGGTGCTTTATGTTTTTTATTATTTATTTACCACAAGTAAAGGTGAGAAATTGTTATCTACCTTTTAAATTTGGTTAACTGTTTCACTTCATTACTGCTGTGTACTGCTCCATGAGAGTGATGTAGGTGCTTATGTAAGTGGGTTCTGACTTACAGTGAAAATCACGTTATGTTGCACTGTAACCCGAGGACCTATGGTATATATCATTTCCAAATTTCCATTAGGTCCTCCCTACTTCCTGAATTTTTAAGGGCTGGGAGAGCTGCTAAACTGGAATGCTGGTGCCACTGCCCCTGAAATTTGTGTCTCTGGGGAAGGGCCTAGAAATGCTAATGAAGTATAGAAAACAGAAGTGGGATCAGAAGAATAAGGATTTCAAAAATGCAAGTCATCAAGAACTTTATAGTTCCATAGCATCCTAGGACACTGAAAGGTGTCATGCATGGAAGGGGGTCAGTCACTGGATTTGATTTGCTCTGCCCTGAGAAGACCATTATAGCTCAGACTCCTTGCCTTCAGCTCTGGCAGCTGGGGCCTTTAAGTGTGCCAAATGTTGACACTTGGAAGATGTTTAACTGATCCTAGCTGTTTTTAACTGATCCTAGCTCCAGGGGATCTTATATAATAAAAGCCTAATATGCTAAGTGTCCGGTCATCTGTTCAACCAATCAAAGCGTAACATGCTAAGGATATGCTAAAGCCACTCACCCGCTCACTATGACGTGCACTGACCACCATGGGACAGACACTCCAAATGGTAGGTTAGCTTACTGGTGGGGGTCTAGCTGATTGGGACTGAGTGAGATGGGCCAGACTTGCCCTGGAGCCCTCCCACAACCCCTCCCCGGCTGGCCAACCTCCCACGTCCCCCTCCAGCCCGGATTGTGCACCGGTGGGGTTCCTCAACCTGGCTTGTGCCCTCTTGCAATCTGGGACCCCTCAGGGGATGTTGAAGAGCCGGTTTTGGCCAATTCCACAGGTCAAGCTGAGGGACCCGCACTGGTGCACGAATTCGTGCAACAAGCCTCTAATTTTAGAATAAGGGAGGTGAGTGGCTAAGACACAGGAACCTGGTCAGAAATGGCTTAGTCTTCATCCCTAGAAAAGAAGTCCTTACCCAGTGAGTCCACATTCTCATAACTCTCCTGCACCGTGTCCCTGGAGAGGGCCCTCTTACTAGGCTCCTGATGCCCCCACTCCTCCTGGGAGATGTACATAGCCACGTCCTCTAAGCTCTCAGGCAACTGAAACAGTACAAGATCTCCTTTAGCCCCTGAGGCACCAAGAACAATTCAAGCAAAGTCAAGGATTAAAGGGGCAAAACCCGGGAGTGCCCAGAACACATTTCATGGGGAGTGAGGTGAGGCCTAGGAGTGAGGTGAGGTGGAGGCATCTAAAGAAAGTAGGGGACACACATTGGTGAGGAAGAAAGAATCCTCTCCAAGTGACCAAAGGACCCCACCACCACGAGCAACACAGTGTGTATGGGGACGTGTGCTGAGGGAAGACATTGGGAACTTCCACATCACCTGGGGCCCAGTCATCTTGTCTTCCATGTTTCCTTCGGGAGGAAAGAGAGAAAGCCAGGGAGCAGATAATGCTGAAGGTGACAGAAATCATGATGAGAATGGCATTCCTAATTCTTGGCAACCCAAGGATTATTACACAGTATCCATTCCCCACCACCCAGTCTCTGCTCTGAGGACTGAACACTGAACAAAAGAAAGCAAGAGAAGCACAATTAAGCTACATCCAAAATGACATTCTAAATGCAGGGGTAGGATTAAGAAATATCACTCGTCTGTCTACAACATTCAAGCCCTCAATCATTCATTACCTCTAAATGTCTCTGTTCTGCAAGCAAAAGAGCAAAGAAATCTCCCTCCCTCCTCCCACTTCCAGAAGAACCCAATCACCACTTCTACGTCTTTCACTCCATTCTGGGAACCCTGAACCAGAAATTCCCTCTCCCTGGCACAGGTGCTTTATCCTGCTGTCAAAGGCAAACCCAGACCCTCCTCCCTCCCACCTACCCAGATAACTGTTCCTCACCCCTCTCCTTTACAGCCTGGGGGTCCCTTTTAGGGCTGGGGCCTAGCAGCTCCTGCAGCCTGGGACCAGGGCTTCGCTCAGTCTCCATTGGCTCCAGCTTGAAGCTCGGTGACTTTCGTGCTGTTTCCAGAGACAAAGGCTCCTCCAAAAGCACTTCTGTTCCCCGCCCATGGTTTGTGACCTGGGAACCAACCCACATTACTCATCATCACAACAGGGTCCCGCAGGAAGGGAAATTAGTACAGAACTCTGAGGGCAAGCCTTCAACAGTGAACTACTGGTACATACCTTTGGACCCAGCTAGGGAAAAGGATGGTTCCCACTGCAGGTTTTTCTGATCCCAAGTGCATGAGAGAGAGTGGGGATGGAGTGTTGGTGGGGGGGAAGAGTCTACTCCTTGAGCACACCTGCCCATGTAGCTCCTCTGGACACACCTCACTCCCTCTTGCTTTCCCCTACTTTTTCTAGATGCTTCCATTCCTCACTCACTACTGGATAAGTTAGACTTGGGTGTCTCTGGGGGCACAAGTGCGCTCAGAGTCTCAGTGACAAAGTGCACAATTCACTCCCACCCAGTTCTGTACAGGAGACCAGACTGCTGACCCTAATATAACAAGAGCTAATAGCTATTACGCACTAACTATAAGCCAGTAGTCTGATCTAAACTGCATGGCCCTGGCCAGATGCCTCAGTTGGCTGGAGCACCAGTGGTCCGTTGAGGTCAGAAAGGTTGGCGAGACCTCTGGGTTGGAGTGTCATCCCAATATGCCAGGGTTTCTGGTTCCATCCCCAGTCAGGGCACATACAAGAATCAACCAACGAAGGCATAAATAAGTGGAAGAGCAAATTGATGTTCTCTCCCTTCCCCCACCCTCCCTTTCTCTCTCTCCAAAATCAATTAAAAAAAAAAAAAAAAAAAAACCACGTATGTCTGATTGTAACAACTTGCTTGAGTGCTTTCACTAGGCAAAATAATACTGATGTGAGATTCAAAAAGTAGTGGGACTGTTTAAAGCAGCGATTTTCAAACGGTGTGTTGCAAGAATTTGGAGGGGAGGGGACACACTACATACTGCTCTCCCTCTAACCCTAAAAGCAGCACTAGAAAGGTATTCCACTATTCACACTTTGCCAGTGGCATTTCTGAGACTAATAAAAAGGTTAATTTGCCTTAGCCAGTTTGGCTCAGTGGATAGAACATTGTCCTGTGGACTCAAGGGTCCCAGGTTCAATTCCAGTCAAGCGCACAAGCCGGGGTTCTGGGCTCCATCCCCAGTGTGGGATATGCAGGAAGCAGCCAATCAATGATTCTTTCTCATCATTGATGTTTCTGGCTCTCTCTTCCTTTCCCTTTCTCTCTGAAATCAATAATAATAATAAATATATATATTTATTTTTAAAGGTTAACTTGCCTAAAGACACAATGCTAGTATGAAACGAGTTTTGAATTAAACCCTGCAGAGACACTGCCTCCGTATGGAAATAGGACCCTCTTCACTACTCCCTCTGTCCACGGGGTAAAACCTGGAAGATAACTGTTCCTGACTGAACTACAAAAAGGCCTCTGGCCCATTTAAGGCCTATGAAGGGAAACCAAGTAAATAGGGAAGTGGATCGGCACGCTGTCCCAGTCATAGGGTCCAACAAACCGCATATACAACAGCTCTTTTGCTCACCTGTTGCCTCAGCTTCCCAAGCTCTCTCTGCATATCTTCTACAAGGGTCACTGCTTCCTCGCCGCTCTCCGGATGCAGCTCCTGCACCCTGCTCTGGATCTCCTGAGGCAGGATGATTAGAAACTGCTCCAGCACCAGCAGCTCCAGGATCTGCTCCTTGGTGCGCATCTCAGGCCGCAGCCACCCATGGCAAAGTTCCTGGAGCCGGCTGAGGGCTTCCCGGGGCCCAGCGGCCTCTTGGAAGCGGAACCGTCTGAAGAGCAGGTGGGAGGCCTCCGGGCTGGGCCCCGGGTCTGGCGGGAGCAGCTCCTGGCTCCAGGCGCAGTCCTCCTCCAGTTTCACTATGAGGAGCCCTTCCCGATCCTGGGAGCCCGGGCCCGACGCCATCGTCAAGCCCTCGGAGCGCCCTACCCGGGAAACCAGCTGTGCCCGCCTGGAAAGGGGCCCCCAGTTTCTCACAGGGATGGCCGGCTTCAGGTCCCGGCCGAAGAGCAGCCACTTCCGGCGTCCTCGCCCCTCAGTCGGACCCAGGAGCCGCCGAGCCAGCCGTCGGCCCAGCCCTCCCTAGGGAAGGACCTGGGCGCCGCGCTTTTCGCCGCGTCGCGAACTCACGCAGAACTCGGCGCTCCGCTCCCCCGCCGGAAGCCTCAGCGCGAGAGTTAGGCGTCCACAGCCAACGGCGCCAGCTGGGGACCAACCCCCAGGTCACGTTCTGCGAACTACAGCGCCCATTGGTCCAGATCTTGCCGCGGAGTCAGCGCCGACCAACCAGGAAGGGAGACTCATCCGCCGGGACGGGGCGCGCGAGGGGCCAATTCTAGACGAGGGGCGGAGCCACCCGACAAGCCCCGAAACCCTGGAGGTTCCTGGGGTTGGCCAAGGGACAGATGGGTTCGCCAAACAGATTTGTAAAAAAAAAAAAAAGGTCCTAAAACGGGCGTGTCTGGCGGGCCACCTGGGTCAGAATACCGCAGGAAGCTTACTAAGATACAAACCCTCGAGCCACGCGAGATTCAGTGCGTCAGAGTGTCAGGGTGGCTCGGAAATCTGAATTGTTAACATCCTCCCTCCCTCCCCAGAAATTCTTCACCCATTAGCCAAGTGTGAGAGGCATTTCCTAGTCACAACGGATTAAAGACGGTCCCCACCCGCTCCGATAATTTAGGGTTGCAGGAGGGGGAGCCATCGACCCGGAGGCTCCCGAGCCGGTGTCACCGAGCCAGCTCGGCGGCACCTCGGGGAAGCCCGGAAGCGAGCTTGCCCCGCCTAGGTTGGCGTCCCCGCGGGGCCTGCCGGGAGGTGCGGTCAGCGGTGCTGTTGGTGACCGCTCCGACCCCGCGGTTCTGGGGGCTCGGGGCTGGTAACCTGCGGTGGTCACCCGCCCGTCCGGCGTCCAGTTTTGGGGGGCTGGATGGCCTGGAAGGCCGCTAGGTACCAGCCCTGCGCCACCGGCTTCCTGTTTTAAAACAGATTTTAAACTTGTCTGAACGTGTCCTTCACTCTCCAGCCCTGCAGAGGCGGGATCCTGTTTCCCCCTAGCTCCGCCGTGAACTTTCGTGGTGAGAGGTGAATGGAAGCTAACCCGTAGGGTTGTTTTTCTGGCCGAGCAGTTGGGTGCTTTGCGCCAGTGAGGGGAGGGTGGCCCAGCTATGTTCAAGGGTCGCCCCGCTTTTCCATTCCCTCCAGCAAAGGTCCGACCTGTGGGCTCAGGAGATCGAATCGTGACAACCAGTGCCGTTTATTAGTGCCTGCTTACATGCAGCGAGAGACTCACAACACACAAAACTGTAGGAAGTATACACTATTATGCGCATGTTCCAAATAATGGCACCAAGTGTCAGTAAGTCACTTGCCCAGGATCACACAGTCTGTTGGTGAAGTTATAGCGACATGATGGTAAAGGATATGAGGATGCAGGGAGAAGTTACGAAGTATATTTTATTTTCTTATTCCACTCTGGGGAAAAAGTCAGGTCCACAAACTGTTGTGGCAAATGCAGATCCAGAGGCCTCAGTGCGCTTGCAGGTATAGGTCCATTTCAAAAAACCATGTGACCTCAGAGTCCTATAAGATCATTCTCAAGTTTCAGAGTGACTATCGATTCTAACATTATGATCAGTTCTCTGGCATTTACTCTGGTATCTCAAACAAGTTATTAAATCTTGTTAAATCCCAAAACTCAGTCCCCTTGTCAGTTTTGGATAATTCTATACCCACTGTATAACATTGGATGAAGATTAAGTAAGCTAACATATAGGATGCTTAGAATGGCACCTAGCACTTAGTTACAATAAAAGTTAAAAAAAAATTAGCTGTGCCCTAGCCGGTTTGGCTCAGTGGATAGAGCGTCTGCCTGCATATTGAAGGTGCCGGGTTTGATTCTGGTCAAGGGCACATGTCGGGGGCAGGAGGCAGCTGATCAATGATTCTCATCATTGATGTTTCTATCTATCTCTCCCTCTTACTTCCTCTCTGAAATCAATAAAGGCATATATATATTCACTTGGATGATAATTGTAGAATGTGTATGGGAATGTTAGCAAAACTACACATAGGAATTAAAGATGAATCATTTGCTGTGTAAGTTCCTTTTGACTTCAGGTTATTAATGGGTACTTAAAGCTAGATGGGCTTTCAGAGTTACTCAGAATTACTTTTAATATTCATCGGCCATCTCTTTGAGGCCCATCTGTATTCAGACAGAAAATAGCTGATATTTGAGAGTGGGGTTATAGGCCAGTATATCTATAGGGGTTCATTTAGGACAGAAGTTCTTAACCTCAGGTTCATGAAATTCTAGAGCAGCACTGTCCAATAGAACTTGATGAGATATTATCTTTTGAATATTTAAATTGCAGCTAGTGTTGCTAAGTGCTACCTTGTGGCTACCATATTAGTCAATGAAGTTCTAAAAGGTAGAGTAGATAGATTTAGAAATTCTGTAAACCTTTTTATATTGTATACAAAATTGCATGTGTATGCATATTTTCTAGGATATGGATCTATGACATTAAGTTCTTAAAACCACCAAAAAGATTACAAGCCACTCCTTTAGGGCTTTGGTGAAAAGTTAAGAGAGGTAAGTATGCCTCCTTTACTACTCTGTATTGATTCTACTTTCTTGTCCTCAGCTGTAGGTGGCTCCTTGACTATTACAAATAAAAACAAATTTGAATTTCAGATAAAGAACCCCTACCAATCCTGGTCTTAGTTCTCGTAAGCGCTGGAGTCTGTCTCTAGAGCTGCTTTTAGTCTACCCAGGTCTTATATATTCCCTTATACTCAGGTGGGCAGTTGTCTGTGCCTGGTTTTCAAATTGACATTTGATGAAACCTAGTATTAAGACTTTCAAGTCTGTTCTCTTTGACAGTGGAACAGACCAATGGGCAGTTCCTATCTTTCTGAAATGCTGCTCACCTTAGGATAGTCTGACCTCCAGGCTTCTGCCATCCTAAGCCTTAGCTATTTGCTTCTCCCCCCAATTTTGGTTTCTCCCCAGTTTACTAGACTACAGCTTTCCTGTGATCTACGGTTTAGCATTTATTTTTAAGTGCACCATATTACTCTTTGATTCAACTCTTAGCTTTGAAATCCAATCATAAACAAAATAGTGACTATAATTGGCATTTCATTTGAAATGCATTTTATTTTTATTAATCTGAAATGATTTCCTTTTCTTCATGAAAATATCAAATAAGGCATTTTGCATCACTTCCTATATTTTAATAAAATGTTTTGGAATTTAAGTTTGTCTTCACATTAACATCAACCAAACTAACTTGCATTTATATTGTTTGTTAATGTTGATATTGAAACATTTTTCTCTGTTTGATCTTAAATCACTATTTACCAACCCACGTGTTATTGCAGTCCACTGAACTTTGTCTGAGGAGCGGAGGGAGGAGAAAGGGACACATGAAAAGATTGTAAACCATAACTGGTCTCAGTGAGGGAAGGAATGATAGGACATGGAGCAAAACTGAGCTGGAGCCGAAGCAGATTTGGCTCAGTGGTAGAGCGTCGGTCTGCGGACTGAAAGGTTCCAGGTTCGATTCAGGCCAAGGGCATGTACATTGGTTGCAGGCACATCCCCGGTAAGTATGCAAGAGGCAGCTGGTCGATGTTTTTCTCATCGACATTTCTAGCTCTCTCTCTCTCTCTCTCTCCCTTCCTCTCTGTAAAAAAATCAATAAAATATATATATAAAAAAAAAAAAAACTGAGCTGGAGCCGAAACCGGTTTGGCTCAGTGGTAGAGCGTTGGTCTGCAGACTGAAAGGTCCCAGGTTCAATTCCGGTCAAGGGCATGTACATTGGTTGCGGGCACATCACCAGTAGGGAGTGTGCAAGAGGCAGCTGGTCAATGTTTCTCTCTCATCGACGTTTCTAGCTCTCTATCTCTCTCCCTTCCTCTCTGTAAAAAAATCAATAAAATATATATTTTTTAAAAAAAACTGAGCTGGAGAAAATTTTACTAATTGTCTTTAGATTGCTAGAAACACTGTTAGGTAGTTGTTTTCATTGATTCCAAGACCCCAGCTAAAAGAAACATATAACCCAGTTCAGAGATCAATTTTTAAAAACTTTTAAAAATTAATTTTAGTTTTAAAAATTTTATTGATTTCAGAGAGGAAGGAAGAGGGTGAGAGAGATAGAAACATCAGTGAGAGAGAAACATTGATTGGCTGCCTCCTGCACAACCTCAACTGGGGATTGAGCCCACAATTCAGGCATGTGCCCTTCACCAAAATCAAAACGGGGGGGCCCTTCAGTCTGCAGGCTGACACTCTATCTACTGGGCCACACCAACTAGGGCCAGATATCAATTTTTATTTGAAAATCTCTTAACTGAAATTATCCAGAACATAATTCCAAAACTCTCTTTTATCTTTATCTTCCTTTGGAATACAGTAACCTAACTTAGATAATTCTATTGTCAAAATATTAAAAACATTGTCCGGCCAGCATGGCTCAGTGGTTGAGCATTGACCTATGAACCAGGAGGTCACCTTTCAGTTCCTGGTCAGGGCACATGTCTGGGTTGCAGGCTCAATCCCTTGTGTGGGGTGTGCAGGAGGCAGCTGGTCAATGATTCTCTCTCATTATTGATGTTTCTATCTCTCCCTCTCCCTTCCTCTCTGAAATCAATTTAAAAAATTATTTTTAATATATTATTGATTTTTTTACAGAGAGGAAGAGAGAGGGATAGAGTGTTAGAAACATCAATGTGAGAGAATCATCAATCAGCTGCCTCTTGCACACCCCCTACTGGGGATGTGCCCACAACCAAGGTGCATGCCCTTGACCGGAATTGAACCTGGGACCCTTCAGTCCGCAGGCTGATGCTCTATCCACTGAGCCAAACCGATTTTGGCTTGAAAATTTTTT